GTCTTTTGTTGTTGTTGATTTTCTTCTTCTTCGTCTCCGTTGTTGTTGTTGTTGTTGTTGTTACCTCCTAATGAGAATATCCCAGACATTTTTTAAGACCTAACACTTCAAACCCTAATCTTGACCCAGCAATATCCATAATTCAGAAACCCTAATTACCATGAAATCCTTATCCTTTTTTCTCCTTCTTCTTCTCACTCAAATTCAGCCTTCTTATACTCCCTTGTGGATGTTTTTGCTCTTCGAATCTAAATTCGAATGTTCTCCAAGATCTCTCTCTCTCTCTCTCGGAACAAAGTGTGTGTTCTTGGTAGTGAGTAGTTGAAGTGAGAGAAAATAAGAAGAAGAAAAAGAAACAAAAGAGAAGAAAGAAAGAACAATTTAAGCTGTCTACTTAATTATGAATCTTTATTTTCTCTATAAATTTCTGCAACGCCGCCATGGGCGGTTTTTAGCTTTCTCTCTCCTCTGCTCTGCTCATCCCTAGAATTTAAGACTCTATCTCTCTCTCTCTCTCCCCACTACTCTGATTTGGTTTTTGCAGATTCTATGAAAACCAAAGTGAAAAGCTTTTCTTTCCCCTTCTCACTTCGGCTTTGTCTGAACAAAACGCTTCTAGTTCTGTCCGTATAAGAGTAAAAAAGGATTAAACAAAGACTCTCTCTCTCTCTCCTATCTCTTCTTTCTCTCTCTACCGACTCAGAGTTTCACACCCACGGGGAATGATCCACCGGTCCTAGCTTTCTTGTTCTCATCTCATGGACAAGAGTTTGCCACGTGGCGAATGTGCTTAAAGCTTGTGTTATCTTAAAACGAAAAAATTCAATTCTTTTCGTTGAAGTTAGCATACATAATTTTTCGTGGTTATAAAAAAGAAGAAGCTAGCTATATGTGTCCGTACGTATTAATGAACCGTATTAATGATAATTTGAAATCCCACGCGATTAGAATTTTTTTTTTTTTCCTTTGAGAATATCTCTATAGGTTTAAATATACTCCCTCCGTTTTCGAATAGTTGTCGTTTTAGAGAAAATTTTTTGTTTTTAATTAGTTGTCGTTTTCAGTTTTCGATGCAAAATTTATTACTTTTTTATTTTTTATATTTATTTTTATTATGCAACTTCATTTACTATTGGTTAAATTATGTTTAGGTAGATAATTAATGATATTTTTATATTGAAAAACTAATAACATTAATAGTTTCTTAATTTGTGTGCATATAGTTAAAACGACCACTATTCGAAAACGGAAAGAGTATGATTTTTTGTTTACCCTCAAAGAATAGTAATTGATCACCTAGATGCCTTAGGGTTATCTCTTCCATCGGATTTAACCCAACGTTTGCAATGAAAAGTGAAAACATCATTTATTTAAAAATAAAATTAGAAATTTAAAACATCACTTATAAAAAAATAGAGAGAATATTATTTTGTATTTTCGATGTAGATTTTAAACACAATTTATCTTTCTTTTACGTAAATGATCATTAGAATAATTGGACTAGCGAAAAAAAATATGCCGTTTGTGCTTACACAAGAGAATAACAAGTTTCTAATTCTTGCATTTCGTGTGTAAGGAAAACATTATAGGAGTTTCAAGTACGTGTACATCAAATTTATTAAAGCCATATTTCGATTTTTCTGATCAGAGGTAACTAATCTTGTGGTCAAATCAGGACAACTCTTTTTCTTCCTTAATAAAATATTCCATATATCAGATGTATAGCCCAATCATGGTAGAGTGGTATAATCAACAAAAGAATATGTAAATATACAAATTTATGAATGTTATGCTATTTGAGTAAACAATAGATTATTTTTAAAACAATTTAATTGGAAAACGTCACTAGTGTCTAAAGTGATGACTAAAATAAACTCACATACGTACTAAACAAAAAAATTATTACGTGTTTATTGGGAAAATTTTACATGCATAATAAACAATCTCTTCTAATTTACTGCCAAATTTTCCGGTAAATTATATATTTAAAGATTGGCAATAAAAACATTCAACTATTCGGCTAGTTACCCTTTATAAATCATAACAGAAATCCATGTGTATAAAATCATTAAGAATAGACTAATAGTCAACAGTGTATAAAATCATTCACCATGGAATATAGTTTATGAAAACAGAGAGATTCGGGGCAGTGAAAAAGAAGCTCTCTTTTTATTGATTGTTGCAAATGATCATATTTATATTCGTTATCGAGTGATTTGAATAATTAAAAAAATATTTACAAAAAAAAAAAAGAGAGGAAATACGAAAAAAGATAGAAAAAAGCATGTTACTCTTTGGACTCTATGTGGCTATCCAAGGGAACACTGCGCCACCTACGTGTACTTTTTTGTATTCCCATCTTTTTACTGTGAATTATATATAACTTTCTACGTAAAAGACGAATCAAAATAATGTAACAAAATTCGGTATTCGTAGTTCTACCGGGATTATGGTTTCTAATCGTACCAACTGTAACGAAGAAACTAATGTATCGTACTCTTGTCGTTAGGCGAGAAGAATTACGATTGGTATTATTTTTTTTATTTTTTTTTGGTTTAAGTATTATTTAATAAATCTGAAGTATTTCTATCCAATATTAGTTATTAGTTACATGATATTCGGTATCTGAAATAAATAATATTTGTTTGAAATGTTGTGGTAGACCAAAAACCTGTTGGATTAATCTGAATTTTCAAGATCCAGAAAAGAACAAAAAAAAAAAAAAATCAATCAAAGTCATTTCAAATCGGCCCATATAGAACCAGCGTTGTCACCTCCGAATCCAACCAGGAACATGAACGTACGTATATCGTTTTTGTTGTGGTATTTAGAAGAATTAATAGTGGACTCTCTAGAATTGGTATATGATCAAGAACACAAAAGTTTTAAGAATAATTCTCTTTTATTATATTATGTTTTAGAAAATCTCTCAAAACTAAAGCTCTCAATCTCATAAGTTGTATCACAACCTTGATACCTCTTTATATAAGAAAACCAACTTGACCTAATCCTAACTCAATTAAGATTTGTATTAGATAACTCCTAATACTATTATTCTAGATAACTCCTAGAATAATAAGTTTAATTTTCTTTTCCCTTTTTAGTAACTTGCTTCCCAAGTTACCTCTACTTCAAGCTTACTCCAACAGACTCGTGCCACATGATGATCCGTGATCGTACCAAGTTTGAACTCTAAAATCTATTAAATATTTTTATAAAACCGGCTTTATCAAGAACGGACCGATCAAAGTTAGTCCAGTCCAGTCCAAAGGTTTTGGAAAGAAAAAGCTATTTAAAATTGTGAAATCTAATGATTATTATATGAATAAGAAAAACAAAAACCAAAAAGAGAGAAGGGAATGATAAGTGGGAGAGGCCCGAGAAAAAGACGTCCAGTGTCGCTCGCTGTCTGTCCCTTAAACATGTCGAGAGGTCTCTCGAGCCCTGTGTGTGTGTGTTCATGTTTGCCTCTCCTTTGCATTGACTCTCTCCTTTTGTTTTTGTATTCTCTTTTTTTTTGTGCAACCAAACTCTCTCTTTTTCTTCATATAATTTTGATTTAAATATCTTTTTTTTTTATGTCCCTTGGGGTTTGTGGTTGGGGGTGAATATAATGGACGTAAGCCAAATAAAAGCTAATGAGATAATGAAATATTGAAATATATATATGGATTGTAACTGATAATCAAACTACGAAACTAGAAAACAAAGAAAGGAAAACCACGAAACTCTAACTATATAGTCAACTTTAACACATTAAATGAAATTGCAATTTATGTGAACAAGGGAAATTAATTGAAAGATGCAGGGACAAAGAAGAAGAAAAAAAGGAAATTAATAGTAGATGGAAGAATAAAACAAGAAAAGCAATCGTTTGTAAGTCTATTCTCTAGAAGGTCTTAATTATCGGATGGTTGCTTCATGAAAGGAGTACATCGGAGCAAATGGGAACAACAAAAACGAGACAACAACAATAAAAAAAAAAAGAACGAGACAATAATGAGAAAAAATGAAATTGTATTATAATGTAATGGCTGTCATTTTCTCAGCCTTTAAATGTGGCTTTTTGTTGATAATAACATGGCATATTTGAGTCTTTTAGACAAAAAGTCTAATCTATTATTGGGTATCTACATCAACCATATAGTTAAGAAAAACATTATAATAGTTATGCACCAAACTTAAAAGTATATATCCCCTTCACCATTCCGATTAAAAAATATAAGATATTGCTAACTATATCTTTTGATATCTTTTGTGTGTTCGCATATTGGATATCTTTTGTGTGTTTTCTATTTATTTATTGTCATTTGATTTTAGATGGATACGTAAAATATTCACCTATACATTCGTCTTTACATGCTAAAATATTATATTTCTACTTTTTAAATGCATTATACTTTTCTAATTACCTCTCTTATAAATCGTAAAAGATATTGCTACATTTGCGTTTCACGTTTACCCCAAATTTGTTTGTTAAAGGGCTTCTTAACAATTACGTTAATAATAATTATTTATTTTTATTTTTTTGGTTGTAAAACTTCATATATAAACGTAAACACGAACCGAAAGTTTAATTAACTCCTCTATGGTACTTTTAAGTTTAATCAAAACCCTCTGTGGGCATGGATAAAAAGTTATAATTAATTAAAGAGCTACGGATCTTTGCTCACTCGATGATCTAATAGGGCAATGAATGTTGAATTTTGACTATAGTCCATGCGTTGTTAGTGATTGGTCGGTCGGTCCATATCTTATTGTAATGATGTGAATTGTGTTTTTTCACTCATTATCCATTTCATCCAATTGGCATGCAAATTATTTTTCTCTAAGACAAATAATTGACTACAGAAGAAGATTCCACTGCACATTTACCTCAATTGCCCATTTAATGACTTTTTCGTTTAATGAAATTGAATTAGGCTTCTGTAAGTGTCCCCACTCTATGAAAATTAATTTAAAGTCATACTTTTTTTGTAACAAAGCAGGACCACTTCTTCTTAGTCGATATCAAGTCTAGTTAACTCTGCAAGAGAATTTGGTTCATACAATCTGAAGTTATGATACTTTAAGTAGAACTATTTCCAGAGACTTGCGTTAGATCCTAACTGTCTTCCTGACAAATCCACATATATATGTATAAGCAAAATTAAACTAGTGTTCTTTTTCTTTAGATTCCAGAGAGTATTAACTTTTTTTTTACTAAACCTGTTGCATCTCCCTCCTCTTAGCATCCACGAGCAGTGCAAGTCGTGCACATTTACTTTTAGTTTCTTCCAGTTCCTTTTCTAAGTTACTTACCTGTTTCATTATCCATTTATGTCTATGTTATAACCGATGTAACAAAAAACTGTTTGTCTGGTTTTGTATCGCTGAATCAAACTTACCGCCTGTTCCATTTCAGTCTCTTTCTTTACATATTCCTCGCACCTGTTGAAGAAAGAACACATCGAAATTGATTGGGATTCCAAATATGATAGCTGAATTGAGTTTTTTTTCATGTTGTGTGTATATACCTCATGAAGAGTTGCATGTTCTCTTCGCTTATCTCATCCGCAGACATGCCAACAAGGTTGTTTTCAGTATCCAGCTGGGAAGATATTTCACTTACGGTAGCTGCAGGTTGAGGGCTGAGCTGCACTGGTTGGAAGTTACTTCTAAGACCCGTGGAATTTTTCAAATGTGGCGCTGCAACAGCAACTGTTCGGCTTGAAGTTGCATTACTAAGACTGATTTCACGTATTATCGGACCACCTTGACTGATTCTATCACAAGGCAAAGGTAAAGGATTGAATGTATTAACAGTAGGTGGTTGATCACGTATTGCTATCTTTTTCGACTTAACAGCAGCTGCAGGCACTTTATAAATATTGTATCCAAAAACTTGGACATGGCTCTGCCTGTTTTACACCACAACAAGCAGTGGAATAGTCAAACAAAGATATTGCGGTTTGGAACCAAAATCATATTGACAAAATAATAAGATGATTCGAAAAGGTTTTGGAGAGGAAGAAGAGACCAGTAATCATGGACAATCTTTTTCAACCTCGCCTCCAGCCGCTGAAATAGAGACGACCTCTCAAAATCTTGCTTATCGTGGGCTGGTTCTATGAAGTTTGCTTCAAGAACTCCTGGGGAACAGATTTTGATTGATGAGTCTCTCCTACAGGTCTTTACCTCAAACAAAACATTATTCAATGTAGTCATCAAGGAAATGAATCACTATACCGACAACACCATGTCCAACTGATGACCCGTCCATAGTGACCTTCCAGAAAGGCTGTAATCGTGCAAGAGATATCAACTTAATCAAGCCATACGCAAAGCTTGGCGCTTAAGTGACAAATATTCTACCAAACCAATCTTAAATTCTTCTATTAATCATTACATTCTAGTTATATAAGTCTGATTTCCCTGAATTGTAAGGTTCCAAACTTACTACACTTGATTCTAAAGATTATCCAGATCATGGAATTGTCTCCTATATAAAAGCGTACCCGGATGAGACGGTTTTTATGATAAACATTGAAACCACAAACTGCAAGCTTAGGCCCCTCCTTTATAAATCCAACTTTGATTTTAGTGGTAGCCTGTAATAAGAAAGCTTAGTGGGTTTTTTCGCACAACCAAAACCAAGAAATTAGAATAATGTGCACACATGAAAATAAGCCAAGGCTCTCTGTATCAAAACCAGGGAGTAGAAAAAAAAGAAGGAAGAGGAAGTCCAGTCTGTATTACTTGTTCCATAGTAGCTTTATAGGGCTTGTACTTTATAATCTTCGAATATCTGAGTTCATCAGCAATGTTGAACTGCTCCACAGGGATTCCTCGTAGTATAATTTTGAAATTTTCGAACTTCTCGAGATATAACATTGAAGCGTAAGCCTAAGGATGAAAAGTGAGTCTCCAAACATCCTTGGAACAATTAAATAATTAGAAAAGGAGGAAGATATTCAGAAGATTACCCTCAGAGAGTAACGTAATTGGTATGATATATGAGATCTCAGTTCCAATACTTTATGGGGCAACCGTTTCCCGTCATGGACACCTTCATCTTGGAGCCGGATGTCCTATACCAATATCAAAGTAAATGCTTCAAAAAAATAAATCGTCAGCATAAGACCTGACCTAAGAAACCTCTCAAGAGATATCTCATCGAGTGTAATATCATAAAAGAAGAAGTGTAGTTACCTCACTGTCGTCGTCAAAACTCAGCTCATAAATTCCTTCATCATTAAGCCACAAGTTGTATATAATTACTTTTGTTCCATGTGTTCCAATTTCCACGAACTGGTGGGCGGAAGATGGAAAGAAACAAATTAACAAAACAGACCGCATTCACAAGAAATCAAGATCTTCAGAATGAATTTAAGGGAACCGAAGCACATAATGAAATCTTCATAAGCTGACTTTAGAATGAAACAACCTGCTGCCAAAGTTCATCCTCTGTAGAAAACGGAGACCATTTGAGTAGAATTTGAAGGTTGGCAGCCCAATCTTCTGGAGATCCATAGATAATTGGTTGTGGTCGCTCCTTGGATATATCAATATCAATCTGCATTGCATATCAGATCTATCACTTGAGAACAAAGAAAATTTGCACATTCTAGAGTTTCCAAGAAACAAAATCTACAAATGCTTAAGATTTTACCATAGGAACAATGACATCATCCTGACTAGTTTTTCTGAGGAACGTGTAAGACAGAAGACCAACGCTCTGAGTAGATTTGCTAAAACAGGGAAGATAAAAAGGTTTAAACAAGAGAAAACGCCAAATTCAGAGTGTATATGACCAGATATATCAATACCCTCCACGACTTGAGCGACTAAAAACGATAGCATCAGCTCCAAGTCTCATGGTACTTGTCTTGAAACCATTTCCATCTAAACACAAAAGATGTAACTTTGGTTAGAGACCGCCTATTGGAGACCAAGACCACCCAACTAGAAACGAGCTGAATATCATATTAACTAAGTAAAACAATTACACTGTCCAATTGTTGTATTAGACTTCTTTGATGAGTAGCCTAAGCTCATGCATTTTCTGAGTCCATCAGGATCCATCCCACCGCCATCATCTTCAGGTTGAAAAAGAAAGGAGACACCATGTCATTAACAAAATCCAAAGTCTCGGTTAGGCAAAAGCACTACACACTCTATAGGAGGAAATGTACCTTGGAATACTAAAGCTGGAGAATTATCTTTGACAATATCGATCTTATCAATCTTAACAAACGTAGCGCCATTTTGTATCTGAGAAATAACCAATTCGACATAACCAAACACAGTACCAATGCTATAAAAAAAAATTCACTGGCAATGAGAAAAAACGAAAAAGATCATCAAAAGTGAACTTAAGAAAGCATTTCACTCCTCAGGCATACCTCGTCAACAGCATTGTCAAGTAGCTCGGCGATTGCTGCAATACGATGCAAAGATAACAATCATCATCACCAAAATTGTTCATTCTACACCTCCAAGGAGTTATAGAACCAAAAATCTATCTAAATGATAGCTACAACAGAGTCAATTCATAGCTTTACCTCCAAAAGCCCATTTGTGTGAAGTAGCATTCGAGTGAAGAAACTTTGGATGTACTCGAGCATGCTCAAGCAAACCTGTCAAATTTCATCTCATCAAAATACTCCCAAAACCATAATCGTGACGCTTGCGTGTGTATGAGAAAGAGAAGGAAATGACCGGAAGCAGTTGGGGTAACACCGGTAGGGATCGCAAAGTTTTCGCCGGCTTTCCAGAAACTCCGGCATTCTAGGGTTTCTCGAGGAGCCACCGTCGCAGCATCAGCGATTGTACTTGGAACTTGCTGATTCTCCATTAGCGACGCCATGCTTCTAAAAGCTCCTCTTCCTCCTACTCCGTCATCACTGTCACTGTCACTGTCGAGATTAACGACATCAGAGACTGCTGCATTTTTCGACTTCGGAGCCATTTCCGGCGACGGTGAAATCGAATTAACAAACAAATTCGAATTCAATGAAACAACGTCTTCTCCGATTTGACTTTAAGCATGAAGAAAAAAGCAAACGTCTTCTTCGTCATCAACCATATCATTTACTTTGCGTTTTTTTCCCGGTCATCAGAGTCTAATTGGGCCACAAAAGCCCAAATACGTTAGAGGCCCATTTCCTAAAAAAGTATTATACTCTGTACATACGTTACATATATGCACATGCTATTATGCAAATACAAGAACACCATCAAAGGTGAAAAACAAAAATCAAGAACACCAAAAAGTCTGAATCAAACTAGGGTTCTATAGATTCCAGAGAGTTTTAACTCGTAACGCTTTTACTAAACTTGTTGCATCTCCTTCTTCTTAGCATCCACAAGCAGAGCAAGTCGTGCACATTTACTTTTAACTTCTTCCAGTTCTTTTTCTAAGCTCTTTACCTGTTTCATCATCAATTTATACCGGTGTTAGATTCCATGTAATAAACAGATGTTTTTCTGGTTTTGTACTGCGGAATCAAACTTACCGTCTGTTCTATTTCATTCTCTTTCTTTATATATTCCTCGCACCTGTTGAAGAATAATATTTGATTTAGATCATCAGAGAGATATGATACTGAAATGAGTTTTTCTCATGTTATACATATACCTCATGAAGAGTTGTAAGTTCTCTTCGCTGATCTCACCCGCGGACTTGCCAACGAGGGTGTTTCCAGTATCCTGCCAAGATATTTTTATTTTAGATCAAACTAGTGGATAAAAACTATATCATTGACAGAATTCACTTACAGCAGCCGCAGGTTGTGGGTTGAGCTGCACAGGTTGGAAGTTACTTCTTAAACCCATGGAATTTCTCATGTGTGGCGCTGCAACAGCAACTGTACGGCTTGAAGTGGCGTTACTAAGATTGATTTCACGTATGATAGGACCACCTTGACTTATTTTATCAGAAGGCAATGGCGAAGGATTGAATGTATTGACAGTAGGCGGTTGATCAGGTATTGCTATCTTTTTCGACTTATCTGCAGGCATTTGATAAGTATGGTATCCAAAAACGTGGCAGTGGGTATACCTGTTTTTCTCCATAACAAGCAGTGGAAGAGTCAACCAAAGATTTTTCGATTTGGAACAAAGATCATCTTGACAAAATATTGAGAAAATAATTTTAAAAGGTTTTGGAGCGAACGAAGAGACCAGTAACTATAGACAATCTTTTTCAACCTCGCCTCCAGCCGCTGAAATAGAGAAGACCTTTCAAAATCTTGCTTATCGTGGGCTGGTTCTATGAAGTTTGCTTCAAGAACTCCTGGGGAACAGATTTTGGTTAATGAGTCTCCAGCCAGGTCTTTACGTCAAACTAAACATAGTCAATGAAATCACAAAGGAGAATAAATCAATATACCCACAACACCATTGCCTGTCGAGTCCCCTCCCATAGTGACCTTCCAGAAAGGCTGTAAATGGTGCAAGAGAGATCTAAACTTAATCAAGGCATACTCAAAGCCGGACGTTTAAGTAACAAATATGCTAGCAAACCAATCTTTTTATGTTCTATTAAGCATGGCACTCCTGTAATATAAGCTGATTTCTCTGAATTGTCAAGTAACAATCTTACTACAGATGCTTCTTTAGATTATCTAGATCAAAGCGTACCCGGATGAGACGGTTTTTGTGATAGACATTGAAACCGCAAATTGCAAGCTTAGGCGCCTCCTTTACAAATCCAACTTTGATTTCAGTGGAAGCCTGTAACAAGAAAGCCTAGTGGGTTTTTTTCTCACAACCTAAACCTAAAAACCTAGATTAGTGTTTGCATATGAAAACACAAACATTATATGCAACGGCAAAATAGCAAAACAATTAGCCAAAGATCCACATAACAAAACTAGAGAGTAGACAAGAAAAGAGGAAGAGGAAGTCCAGTTTGTATTACTTGTTCCATTGTAGCTGTATGGGGCTTGTACTTTATAATCTCGGGAAATCTAAATTCATCGGCAATGTTGAACTGCTCCACAGGGATTCCCCGAATTATAATTTTGAAGTTTTTGAACTTTTTGAGATATAACATTGAAGCATATGCCTAGCGATGAAGAAATAACAAAGTAAATCTTCAGACATCCTTGGAACAAAACATTATTAGAAAAAGGAAGAAAATATTAAGGAGATTACCCTCAGAGAGTAACGTAAGTGGTATGAAATATGAGATCTCAGTTCCAATAACTTATGGTGCAACCGTTTACCGTCATTGACACTTTCATCTCGGAGCCGAATGTCCTATACCAATATCAAAGCATAAGATCCGACCTAAAACACCTCTGGCAAGATATCTCATCGAAGATTTATCATTTGAGGAAAAGTGTGTGTTACCTCGTCGTCGTCGTCGTCAAAACTCAGCTCATAGATTCCTTCATCATTAAGCCACAAGTTGTATATAATTACTTTTGTTCCATGAGTTCCAACGTCCTCGAACTGGTGGGCGGAAGATGGAAATTATAAAAATTAACAAAACAGACTGCAATCACATGTAATAAAAACTTCAGACTGCTTTAGGGGAACGGAAGCACATTGGGACACAAGCCAAGGAAGAACAGTGATGCAATGAGATATTCAAAAGCTGACTTTCAAAAGAAACAACCTGTTGTAAAAGTTCATCCTCTGTAGAAAACGGAGACCATTTGAGTAGAATTTCAAGGTTGGCAGCCCAATCTTCTGGAGATCCATAAATAATTGGTTGTGGTCGCTCCTTGGATATATCAAAATCAATCTGCATTGCACATCTGATATATCAATTGAGAACAAAGAATAGTTGCACATTCAAGAGTTTCCAGAATTACTTATTTATTTCAGGCATGAAACAATATCTACAAATGCTTAGGATTTTACCATAGGAACAATGACATCATCCTGACCAGTTTTTCTTAGGAATGTGTAAGACAGAAGACCAACACTCTGAGTAGATGTGCTAAAACCGAGAAGAATAAAAAAAGGTTAAAACAGAGCAAACGCCAAATTCAGAGTGAATATGACCAGATATATCAATACCCTCCACGAGTTGAGCGACTAAAAACAATGGCATCAGCTCCAAGTCTCATGGTACTTGTCTTGAAACCATTTCCATCTGAACACAAAAGGTGAAACTCCGCCTGTTGGAGACAAAGACTGCAAGACCACTCAACTAAAAACGAGCTCAAGATCATATCAACTAAGTAAAACAATTACACTGTCCAATTGTTGTATTAGACTTCTTTGATGAGTAGCCTAAGCTCATGCATTTTCTGAGCCCAGTGGGATCCATCCCACCGCCATCATCTTCAAGTTGAAAAAGAAAGGAGAAACAATGTCAACAACAACATCCAAAGCCTTGGTTAGGCAAAAGCACCACACAGTCATTCAAAGGAAATGTACCTTGGAAAAGTAAAGCTGGGGAATTATCTTTGACAATATTGATCTTATCGATCTTAACAAACGTAGCACCATTTTGTATCTGAGGAATAAGCAATTCGATATAACCAAACCCGTTACCAATGCTTTAAAAAAACAGTTCACTCACAACGAATCAAAAATGAACTTAAGAAAGCATTTCCCTCCTCACACATACCTCGTCAACAGCATTGTCAAGTAGCTCAGCGATTGCTGCAATACATTACAAAGAAAACAAACATCATCAACTGAGAGGAGTAAGAAAATCACAAATCTATCTAATTGATAGCTACAGCAGAGTGAATTCATAGCTTTACCTCCAAAAGCCCATTTGTGTGAAGTAGCATTCGAGTGAAGAAACCTGGGATGAACTCGAGCATGCTCAAGCAAACCTGTCAAATTTCATCTCATTTAATACTCCCAAAACCATATTTCGTGATGCATGCGTGTGTATGAGGAAGAGAGAGATGACCTGGAGAAGTCGGAGTCACAACGTTCGGTATCACAAAGTTTTCTCCGGCTTTCCAAAAGCTCCGGCATTCCGTAGGAGCCACCGTCGCAGCATCAGCGATTGTACTTGCTGATTCTCTTCCTCCTACTCCGTCGTCACTGTCACTATCACTGTCGAGATGAACAACATCAGCGACTGCTGCATTTTCCGCCATACGAGGCATACACGAATTCTCTAATTTAATGAAGCAGTCGTCTTCTCCGATAAGACTAGAAAAGACTTTCAACCACAGTATGAAGGAAAAGCAAACGTCTTTTTCGTCATCATTGCTTCTTTTTTTTGGTCATCAGAGTCTAATTGGGCTCCAAAGCCGAAATACTTATAGGCCCATTTCTCAAAAATGCTATTTTTTTTTACTTCTGTCTATATATGCTACATATATGCACATGACATGCTATTAAGCAAATACAAGAACACCATGAAAGTTAAAAAAAAAAAAAAAAAAATCAAGAACACCAAAAAATCTGAATCAAACTAGGGTTTTTAACTAAACTTGTTGCATCTCCTTCTTCTTAGCGTCCACAAGCAAAGCAAGTTGTGCACATTTACTTTTAACTTCTTCCAGTTCCTTTTCTAAGCTCTTTACCTGTTTTATCATCAATTTATACCGGTGTTAGAGTCCATGTAATGTAATAAACAGATGTTTTGAAATGCGGAATCAAAATTACCGTCTGTTCTATTTCATTCTCTTTCTTTATATATTCCTCGCACCTGTTAAAGAATATTATTTGATTTAGATCATCAGAGAGATATGATACTGAAATGTGTTTTTCTCTTGTTATAAATATACCTCATGAAGAGTTGTATGTTCTCTTCCCTTATCTCATCAGCTGACTTGCCAACGATGTTGTTTCCAGTATCCTGCCAAGATTTTTTTTCATTTTAGATCAAATTTGTGGATAAAACTATATCATCGACTGAATTCACTTACGGCAGCTGCAGGTTGTGGGTTGAGCTGCACGGGTTGGAAGTTACTTCTTAAACCCGTGGAATTTCTCAAATGCGGTGCTGCAACAGCAACTGTACGGCTTGAACTGGCGTTACTAAGATTGATTTCACGTATTATAGGACCGCCTTGACTAATTTTATCAGAAGGCAAAGGCGAAGGATTGAATGTACTGACAGTAGGCGGTTGATCAGGTATTGCTATCCTTTTCGACCTATCTGCAGGGATTTGACCAGTTTGGTATCCGAAAACGTGGCAGTGGCTTTGCCTGTTCTTCCCCATAACAAGCAGTGGAATAGTCAAACAAAGCTATTGCAGTTTGGAAATAAAATCATATTGACAAAATATTGAGTGATGATTGGAAAAGGTTTTGGAGAGGAAGAAGAGACCAGTAATCAGAGATAATCCTTTTCAGCCTCCCCTCCAGCCGCAGAAATAGAGAAGATCTCTCAAAATCTTGCTTATCGTGGGCTGGTTCTATGAAGTTTGCTTCAAGAACTCCTGGGGAACAGATTTTGGTAATGAGTCTCTCCTCCAGGGTTTTATCCCAAACAAAAGATATTCAATTGAAATATAGAATATATATGGAGAATGAATCACTATACCCACAACACCATTGCCTCTCGTTGACCCTTCCAGAACGACCTTCCAGAATGGCTGTAACGGTCAAGAGAGATCTCAACTTAATCAAGCCATATGCAAAGCCGGAAGCTTAAGTGAAAATATGCTAACAAACTTACTACCGTTGCTTCTAGAGATTAAGAGCATAGAAATAACTGCAGTATCAAAACGTACCCGGATGAGACGGTTTTTGTGATAGACATTGAAACCGCAAATTGGAAGTTTAGGCGCCTCCTTGATGAATCCAACTTTAATTCCAGTGGCAGCCTGTAATAAGAAAGCTTAGTGGTTTTGCTCTCACAGTTTAATCATTAAAATATAGATTAATGTTTGCATATGAAAATACAGCCGGAGCTCCATGTAATAAAACCAGCGAGTAAAAAGAAAGAAAAAAAGGAAGTCTTGGTTTGTATTACATATTCCATTGCAGCTGCTTGGGGTTTGTACATTATTGTCTCAGGATGTCTGAATTCATCAGCAATGTTGAATTGCTCCACAGGGATTCCCCGAAGAATAATTTTGAAGTTTTTGAACTTCTTGAGATATAGCATGGAAATGTAGGCCTAAGGATAAAGAAACTAAGTCAGCCTTTAAACTTCCTAGCAAAAGTAAAAAAAAAAACTAAATAGAAAGAAGCTCAGGAGGATTACCCTTAGCGAATGTCGATAGCGGTATGAAATATGAGATCTTAGTTCCAATGTTTTAGCGTACAACCGTTTCCCATCCTGGGCATTTTCATCTCGGAGCCGTATATCCTATTATACCAATATCAAGGAAAATAAAATAAATACTTTAAAATCCAACTTCTGCAAAAGACTTCATCATAGACCCTTTAAGGAAGTGTAAGTACCTCATCATCGTCGTCAAAACTCAATTCATAGATTCCTTCATCATTAAGCCACAAGTTGTATATAATTACTTTTGTTCCGTGAGTTCCAATATCCTCGAACTGGTAGATGAAGAATGGAAATAAATGAATGAATAAACAGGTCACATTAATATTTACACTCGGAACCAGAGTTTTTAGAAGGAACCAACCTGCTGCAAAATTTCGTCCATAGTTGAAAACGGGGACCATTTGAGAAGAATGTTAAGGTTGGTAGACCAATCTCCGGGAGACCCATAAATAATTGGTTGGGGCCTAACACTGGATATATCGAAATCAATCTGCAATGCAGATATGATAACATCAAGATAAAACAATAGTTGCAGATTCATGAGTTTCCAAACATATAGTGAAATACTCAGTTCAGACATGAAAACAAAAAGCTATATAAGCCGAGGATTTTACCATAGGAACGATCACATCATCCTGACCAGTTTTCCTAAGGAATGTGTAAGACAGAAGACCAATGCTCTGTGTAGATTTGCTAAAACAGAGAAGATAAAAGTATGGTTAAGTTAAAACCAAGAGCATACGCCATATCCAGACAATAAATGTACCAGATATATCAATACCCTCCACGAGTTGAGCGACTAAAAACGATGGCATCAGCTCCAAGTCTCATGGTACTCGTCTTAAAACCATTTCCATCTACACAAAAAAGGTGGAACTACAGTTAGATACCTGCCTTTTGCACCAAACTAGAAAGAAGATCGATATCCGATCAACAAAATATAACAATTACACTGTCCAATCGTCGTATTAGACTTCTTTGACGAGTAGCCTAAGCTCATGCATTTTCTGATCCCATTGGGATCCATCCCACCACCATTATCTTCAAGTTACAAAAACAAAAGAAGGATAGTGTCATGCACAAGATTCAAAAACTCGTTTAGGCAAAAGCATCAGCAATACATTCAAAGACAGTGTACCTTGGAAAACTAAAGCAGGGGTATTATCTTTAACAATATTGATCTTATCAATCTTGACAAAGGTGGCTCCGTTTTGTACCTGAGGAAGAAGCAAACAAACATAACCAAACACTATATACACTTCATTGGCAATGAGCAAAAACAAAAACAGAACCTAAGATAAGCATTTCACTCCTCACGCATACCTCGTCAACCGCATTGTCAAGTAGCTCGGCGATTGCTGCAATACAATACAAAGAAGAAGAAATTGACAAAGATGATCATCACAAAAACTGTTCATTCAACTAATTGATAGCTACAACAGAGTCAATTCATAGCTTTACCTCCAAATGCCCATTTATGTGAAGTAGCATTCGAATGAAGAAACTTTGGATGAACACGAGCATGCTCAACCATACCTGACAAATTTTCATCTCATTAAGTACTCCCAAAACCATAATTGTGGAGCGTGAGTGAAAGAGAATCAGAGAAATAACCTGGAGCAGTTGGAGTAACACCGGAAGGGATCACAAAGTTTTCACCGGCTTTCCAGAAACTCCGACATTCTAGGGTTTCTCGAGGAGCCACCGTCGCAGCATCAGCGTTCGAAACTTGCTGATTCTCCATAAGAGATGTCAAGCTTCGACCCATTCCTATTCCTCCTCCGTCGTCGTCGTCACTGTCACTGTCGAGAATTACGACATCGGCGACTGTGTTTTTCGCCATTACCGACGGCGACAAACGAATTCGAACAAAACAGCGTGATGTTTCACTGTTTTACAATAAAACAACGCGTTGTGTGTAGATCACTAGAGCTTTGCTTTGTTTAATTTTTGCTTTTAAGAGTCGGTTTAGCTAATAAGAAACAGCAAGGCGTTTTCTAATCTCCGATATTATTTGCTTTGCTCTTACGGTGCAGATCACTAGATCCTTATTGGGTCACAAAGCCCAACTATGCTAAAAGCCTATTAGGTTATATAACCCATTAGATATATAGTATATAGAGATTATTTATCGAAAATAAATTAATTACTGAATCCAAATGTGTTTATGATAATACTTCACAAAAATTGTTGAAGCTGATCCGAGACATTTTGAAAATTGGAAAAATCCAACACGAACTCTATTAAATCCAAGTAAATAAATAAAAAGAACACCAAAAATCCAAGCAGAATAACAAAATAATTAATCTAAAAGGAAACAAAAAAAAGCTTTTTAGGCCCTAATGTTGCCAGATACTAATTCCTCTACTGGAAAGAAATATCTGTTGTGCAACATAATTGAATCAGCTGCAATAGGTTCATTGTCTTGGTTCCTGTGCCATGTGTAGAACGCGTGAGTTTTATTGAAAATCTGCAAAACTGCATGACCAAAACTAGCTTCTCTATACGCCGAATAGCTCGGTTGAGGATCAGTAAAACTGCCAAAACAGATCAAAAGCCAAAACAAGATCTTAGTTTCATATCACCAAAACAACAACAGAGCAATAAATTAAAAAAATGTTTTTTTCTTACCTATTTGCGATTCCTTCAATGTTTCCTCCATCTCCGATAGTGATGTAAATCGGGGCTGAAGGATCTTTCACAGGAGAGCTCAAGCCATTGGTGATATTATATTTAATATTGGAGACACGTTCGGATCTCTCATAGGAATGGACGTGACCAGACAATACCAAATCGACTTTGCTGTTAACGAACCATGATTCAAACATTGCTCTCATGCTCTCACCTTCCATGTAATGGTAGTTATTACTATTGTACCACGGCGAGTGAACCATGACAATAAGCCATGGAGTCTCTTCTCTGTTCACCTTCTTCAACTCTTGGTCGAGCCACACATATTGAGGTGTGTATTTTCCTGAGATGCAATGCAAATAACATGTTATTCAAAAAAAATATACAAGAGACCATCAAAATCCTAAAGATGTTGCGTGTTTATTGATTACCGTAAGCAGAATAAGAGGAGAGGACGATGATGTGAGCAGATGCACGTCTAATAGAGTACCAAAGAGGAGAAGTGCTCTTCGAAGCTTTGTAGGCGTTATGGTAACGGTGAGTGTAGGGCTTGAAGGCATGAGGCTCCCCCTAATTTAGATTCATATGGTTCTTAAAACTGAAACTAACGAATTATCAAGAAAAAAAAAACTAAAATTGAGAGAATTCTAATATTGTGGACTTACTATGTTTGGGACAAAATCAATTTCGTGATTTCCGGCAGCATAGATGAAGGGTTGGTAAGCAGCACAAGGCTCCACGAATCTTCCCCAAGAATCCCACTTCCTTTGATCATGGTTTGGATGATCATCTGCGTAAGATAAGTCTCCAGGGAAGAGAACAGCTTGGCCTTTAGGGTTTGACATGTAATGATATAATGTCTCGTTAGAAGCATAAGTTTGTCCAAGATCACCTACAAACAATGTATTTATTAGATCGATTTGGAAATATTAATTATATATAATATCATAAGATATGTAAAAGAAAATTTAAGTACCAATGATGCCGAATGTGTATGGAACATCAGGTCCAACCTTTGGAGGTGTAGTGAAAGAAAATTGCCTAACGGATTCATCTGTTCCAACCTCATAGATGTACTTGGTATCGTACTGTATAGATACGAGAAAGAAACTTTATAAAAAAAAAAAACTTTTGAAACAAAAAAAAAAGAAGTGATGTTATTACTTATATGACAAGTTAAATTATACAAAGTACAAACCTTGAGTCCTTTAATGGTGGCATGATGAAGAAAACCAGAAGTATAGTCATAAAATCGGTAAGACGACGTGGAGGCATGAGCTCTCTTCTTTTCCGACTTCACATCTCCGCTAACCGCCTTCCAGTAAGTAACAACGTTAGAACCAGCTAGGTTTAACGGTGTCACCCACGAGATGATCATGCCACGTCCATTGTAATCTCCTTGGATGATATGAACCTAGCCAACGATACAAAAAATCAATATGGATTAATTGTTTTGTTAAGATACAATACAATCAGGGACTTTAACAAAAAGATAAAAATAATAATAGAAAAAAAAAAAAAAACGTAAGCGAAGTAAAATTCAGTTAATAAATTAATTGTATGGCCTCTGTAAAACATAATTAATCGTTACTAATTATTGCCATGTGCAAACCTTACTGATATTGATACTTGCTAAATTCAGAAACTTGAGCCCTAAATTAGCAAACAAAAATTTATGATCTAAGAACAAGAAAATCGAAAAATAAAACTAAGAAATCAAAACCTGTTCAGGAGCATTATGACCAGCCGGAGATGGAAAAGTTTTGAGAGGCATCTCGGTTGATGGTTGAGCTTTTCGGAAAAATTTGCTTGTTGTTCCACCATTGATCACAGTGGTAATGCTTAGAAACACAAGAACAAGTATAATTTTGTTCATCCTCATATTTGATCTATGATCGTAGCTGCTTAAAGAGTTTTGGGTTTGTTTGTTTCTGATTTCTGATTAAAGAACGTATGGTAACGTTTATATACAACTTAATTAGTGTTTTTTTTTTTTTTTTTCGCAAAGAAGAGATAAAGTTGGATTTTGAAGGATTCTGGTAGACATAAAAGGTTATGAGATTATTATGATTGTATTTTCGATTATATCGTACCTTCTAAATTACTTCATCATATCAACTTTTCCGCTTAAGTTAAAATATGGATTAACTAAAAAAAAATTGAGATATAGTTACATCAATCATATTTAATTTATATTATAAAATATCAGAATTTTGATCATTTTTCCAAAGTCAAAATTTGGTTTCAAGTCATAAAAGTTTCATATTTTAGCTTAAGGGGAATAATTCAGTTTTTTTTTTTTTTTACTTTATTTTTTGTTGATTTGCAAAATAAATTCTTGTATGATATGTTTTTTATCCGATTAAAAAAGTTTAAGATGTTAAAAAGATTTTCTGCAATTTTATAATTTACAAAGGAAAATAGTTTTAATGACATAAATATTTTGTTAGATAAATAGAAAAGAAGAAAATTTGTTGAAAGGAAAAATACAACTAAATTAGAAAAGTAAAACGATAATAGATATGATAGAAATGGGTCACCGTAGGATCCTTCTCCTAAACCTGAACCCTCTTTTGTTGATTACAAAGACAAATTAAATCAAATCAAACCTTAAACTGACTTCATTCAGACCTAACAATCCCGGTCTCCATAACCGGTTAAAATGGTCGGTGGTGACCGGTGGCCAGAATGTTTTTGACAAGACCCGGAATTGCCCGAGACCCATCACAACTCTACAGACTCTTCTCTCTTATCTAATTGAAACTACTCTAACCCACAAAGTCTCTGTTCAAACTAACACACACACACACACACATTTTAACACAGCTTACATTTTCTTTTCTTCATCTCTCTGTATTGTTTGGTTATAAAATTTTTAGACAAATGGCTCAATGGTTGTCTTTAAGGTCTCCAAGTGGTTACAGATGTCTCTGGGGCACAAACTGCTTCAACCGTCAACCGTTTCAGCACATTCGGACACGGGTCTTTCCCGAAATTGGTGTTGGATATAGTCACTGCGCATCTCGCTTTCCCTACACACTTCTGCATATAACAAAATACACCGTGGTTAGAAAGAAAAAAAAAAGAGTCTGATTCCAGTTTAATCTGTGGAAAGATTCTATCTTTTACCCTCTCTAAGATAGCGTATGAGGTAGCGGCGTGACACTCTCCTTGTTGGTAACTTCCACAGGTTCCTAAAGGAGTCCCGAAGCTTGCAAACTTAATAGATGCAATTGCTTGACCTGGACTACATTTCAAGTGAACCTTGGGTCTATGAAATGTCTGTCCTTTTCCGTAGCTTTCGATTTGCCAGTTCTTGATATTAGGGTGGTATTCAGAGACTTCAGCACAAACTCCGGATACTGATCTTTTGACCAAAGAGACACTTGATGGATTTCCACCAAGCTCCTCGAATATAACCAACAGATTTTGGCTCGGCTTTAACCATGATCTCGGCACATGGTAATATCTTTGTGTAGGTTGACCACAGCCGGTTTGGCATTTGTTCGGTTTATATGTTCCAGTGTAGCTACATTGACTACAGTCACCAGTCGCAAATGCTGTCCAGTATCTTCCAATGCTCTCACCGTTCACCCAAATCTGCCCTTTTCCCATTCCTTCCATGTCCAAAGCAAGCGGCTCATTTCCTTCGGGTGCATCAAAATACGTCTGAAATAAAACAAAATTTCCTCGTTAGTTCAGATTCTAAATAAGAAAAAACTTTGTCGAGTAATGTTAGAGTCAATCAAACCTTGTGCCAAGTCAAAGGCTGAGGCTTTTGTACAGTTAAGGATGCATCCATCCATCCAATAGAACGAGTGTTGGTTGGAAATGCAAGATTCATAGCTTCACCTTTCAGCCCCACCTGATGAAAACAGAGTTAAACAACTTAATACAGAAAAAAAGGATCAAAAGAGAGAAAATGGGATAGATAAAACACCTGGTATGTCCATTTCTGCCATGACAAATCCCTTTTCCCTTGACTCAACCCATGCAATGCCACTGGACCCAAGATTCCAGTATTCCATGACTCAAAGTGTCCACCCACATTCTTCAAAAACGGAAAAAAAAGAAAGGGATCAGGGTAAGAAAAAAACGAAAAACAACTTTTACAGCGGAAGAGAAAAAAGAATACTAACTGGTAATCCAACAGCAACACTCAGCAACGCAATTCTGTTAGTTCCAGAATGCAGATTGATCTTTCCCTGATAAGTGAATCTCCTATTTTGCCTTGTTCCAAAGGCAGAACCTGCAATTCATATTTTATAAATTTCCATAACAGAAATTCTCTAATAGAAGAAAT